CAATATGCTGAATATTGTATAGAAATCATTTATATTTCCTTTACTGGTCATGTTCATTACCCATTTTTTCTACAATTTTTGTTCTTTTTTATTATAGAAGCCCTTGTATACTACAAATATTGCCTCTTTGTCTTATGTGTTACAAATTTTTTTCCTCGTTTGTCTTTTTTAAACCTTTTTTATGGCATTCTTCATAAGATTTACATAATATTTTTAATATAGCATATGATGTTAATTATTTGTAATAATTAGCCAGGCACTGTGGCTCAAGCCTGTCATCCTAGCAGTCTGGGAGGCTGAGGTAACTGGATTGCTTGAGTTTAAGCGTTCCAGACCTGAGCAAAGACCCCATCTCTAATAAAAACAGAAAAAACTAGCCAAGCATAGTGGCACACACCTGTAATCCAAGCCACTCAGGAGGTTGAGGCAAGAGGACTGCTGAAGCCCAAGAGTTCAAGGTTGCCGTAAGCCAGGCTGATGGCATGGCACTCTACTCAGGGCAAAAGAGTAATACTATTTAAAAAAAGACAAAACTGGGGCAGCGCCTGTGGCTCAAAGGAGTAGGGCGCCAGTCCCATATGCCAGAGGTGGCAGGTTCAAACCGAGCCCCGGCCAAAAACTGCAAAAAAAAAAAAAAGACAAAAACTGTAGTAACTGGCAATTAAACTAACATGTTTTTATAAAATATTATTTTCAGTTTGGTTGGGATCTCTAGCTACAAGTAATAGAAAATTCAACTCAAACTATTTTAAAAGCAGGAAGGAACTGTACTGACTCAAGGGACTGAAGCACAGAGGCAGGATGGTGTCTGGGCAGCCTTGACTCAGCACTCTGGGCTCTGCACCCCCCCCACCCCCCGCCAACCCCCCCCACCCCACCCCACCCCGGTGCTTTTCACAGCTCTCTCCCCCTCTGGTCAGCCCAGGAATAAAGACACAGCATCATACAGAAGAGCGATATGTGGCTACTGGATCTTTCCTAGAGGAATAGGAAGCACTTTCCCAGAACCTTTCACCAAACTCTCCCTTTCATTGGCCAAATCAGGTCTCATGTCCATTCCTGAACCATTCACTGACAGGAATTCATTCCTGAGCTGGGCCTAGGGCCTGCTTCTCTGACACATACTTGGTACATGTGGGATTGGGGCAGAGGACAGACTGACAAAACTGGGTTCCATTTGGAGGAGGTTGTGAGATGGCAAACACCTGGGATAATCTGAGACAACCTGTAAGTGATTTCTGAGCTCTGACCACAAGTGTGTGATGTCACAGTCATCATGCCAGTATCTGGGAGGAAAGTACTGAATGAATATGAGCATCTATCACAGGTATGTGAATGTGCCTTGATACCAGCAGAAGTATCTGAAGAAAAACAAATATTTAAGGGGAAAAAAATTTACACTCACTGCTTCCAATTCAAACCTACTATGTGGGTCACTATAAAAGTTCTGAGACAGCTCTGAAACAGTCAGAAGAGTCCTTTCTAATCCTTTGTGTAAGCTTCTATTTGCTCAGTTTATTGGTATTGCTGGGAGGGTTTTATTTGTTTCTATACACATGGATTTTGTTTCTTAATTTTTGTACATCTTGAAACTTTTGTAATGACCCACATACTACAGTTATAAACTCGGTGGCCTAACCAGAATATGGCATGAACAAAAAAGGCAAAAAAGTAAGATAATGCTATATCTAAAATGACACCAGTGTGAATACTTCACCTTTATTAAGAACCCCCCACAATGCTAAAGCCACGTTGTACACTTAATGGGCACGTTAAGTTTCTTCTTTTCCTTCAGCATCCAGCACCAATGACAACCTAGATCTACTGGTTGGTCTAGGGCCAACACTGACCATAGAACTGGAATCTTCTTTGATCCAGACCCCATGCTCCATGTTTTTAGGGGCATACTAAAGTACACAAGAGGTGCCTGTAGCTCAGTGGTTAGGGCACCAGCCACATATACCAGGGTTCGAACCCAGCGCAGGCCTGCTAAACAACAATAACTACAACAAAAAAAATAGCCGAGTGTTGTGGTGGGTGCCTGTAGTCCCAGCTACTTGGGAGGCTGAGGCAAGAGAATCTCTTAAGCTCAAGAGTTTGAGGTTGCTATGAGCTGTGACACCATGGCACTCTGCTGAGGGCGACATAATGAGACTATCTCAAAAATAAAGTACACAAGGGCTCTATTTTCCATGTATTATAATAGCAAGTGGGCATAGCCACTCTTCTTGGTTATCCAAAACCCTAAGGTCTTTTTCTCAAGAAACACTTTGCCACTAACATTTCTCCCCTCCACATTTCTCCCATGAGAGAACATGTTCTATGTTTCAATCTATCATTCCAAATTGTCAAGATGATCTTGATTCTGATAGCCACTGTATCACCCACTTCTCTCAGTTTATCATCTAGAAGCTGATAAGCGTACCAACTACATCTTGATTCGAGCACACTTAACATGGTGCATGGTGTCATGCCATACAGCCTGCTGCCTCTAAGTGGTGGACTTTTATTTACTAATGCATCTCTTTATTAGTCACCAGAGTGCTTAGTTCATCCTAAGAACCAGAGCAATCAAGCACAGGTTTCTAACATTTCCAAATACATTCTCAGTTAAATGATTGCAGAAAATTATAACATGTAAAAAAAATTAAATTAAGAATAGGTTTAACACTTGGCTCGGCGCCTATAGCACAGTGGTTACAGCGCCAGCCACATACACTGAGGCTGGTTGGTTCACATCTAGGCTGGGCCAGCTAAACAACCATGACAACTGGAACAAAAAATAGCTGGGCATTGTGGCAGGTACCTGTAGTACCAGCTACTTGGGGGGCTGAGGCAAGAGAATCACTTAAGCCCAAGAGTTGGAGGCTGCTGTGAGCTGTGATGCCGCCATGCTCTACTAAGGGTGACAACTTGAGACTCGGTCTCACAAAAAAAAAAAAAATTGGTATAATTCTTACAACTCAAAATAAAAATATAAATAAACTAGTTTAAAATTGAGCAAAGGATCTGAATAGACTTATTTTTTTAGAGACAGAGTCTCACTCTATCGACCTTAGCAAAGTGCCGTGGTGTCACAGCAACCTCCAACTCCTGGGCTTAGGCGATTCTCTTGCCTTAGCCTCCCAACAGCTAAGACTACAGGTGCCACCACACTGCCCGGCTATTTTTTTGTTGCAGTTTGGCTGGGGCTGGATTTGAACCTGCCACCCTGGGTATATGGGGCTGATGCCCTACCCACTGAGCCACAGGTGCCCTCTGAATAGACGTTGTAATGTCTGTTGATATACAAATGGCCAAAAGCATGTGAAAGGATGCTCAACATCATCTGTCACCAAGGAAATGCAAATCAAAACCATGAGATTAAAAAAAGAGAGAGATACCACCTCATACTCACTAGGATGGCTACAATCAAATAGTCAAATAAAAAGTGTTGGTAAAGATGTTGAGAAATTACAACACTTACACACTGGTGGTGGGAATATAAAATGGTACAGCTGTTTGGCTCAGCACCCACAGCTCAGTGAGTAGGGCACTGGCCATATACACCAAGGCTGGCAAGTTCGAGCCTGGCCCAGGCCTGCTAAACAACAATGACATCTGCAACCAAAAAGTAGCTGGCCATTGTGGAGGGGGCCTGTCATCCCAGCTACTTGGGAAGCTGAGGCAAGGGAGTTGCTTAAGCCCAGGAGTTGGAGGTTGCTGTGAGCTGTGACACCACAGCACTCTACTGAGGGCAATGCAGTGAGGAAAAAAAAGAAAGAAAGAAAGAAAAGAAAGCTAGGGGGCACCTGTAGCTTAGTGGGTAGGGTGCCAGCCACATACACTGAGGGTGGCGGGTTTGAACCTGGTCTGGGACAGCTATACAACAATGACAACTGCAATCAAAAACATAGCTGGGCGTTGTGGCAGGAACCTGTAGTCTTAGCTACTTGGGAGGCTGAGACAAGTGAATCACTTAAGCCTAAGAGTTTGAGGTTGCTGTGAGCTGTGACGCCACAGCACTCTACCAAGGGTGATGTAGTAAGACTCTGTCTCAAAAGAAAAAAAAAATGGTACAGCTGTTTGGAAAAGCCTAGTAGTTCTTCAAGAGGTTAAACGCAGAGTTACCATAAGAGTCAGCAATTCCACTCCTAGGTGCATACCTAAAAGAAATGAAAACATGTCTGTACAAAATCTGTATGTAAATACTCACTGGAGCATTATTTGTAATAGCCAAAAAGTAGAACCCAATCAAAATGTCCACCAACTGACAAATGGATAAATAAAATGTGGTATATCCATTCAATGCAATATTATTCAGTCATAAAAAGGAATGAAGTTGGGGCGGCGCCTGTGGTTCAAAGCAGTAGGGCGCTGGCCCCATATGCCAGAAGTGGCGGGTTCAAACTCAGCCTCAGCCAAAAAAAAAAAGGAATGAAGTACTGACACATGCTACAACATGGATAAACCTTGAAAACATTATGCTAAATTTAAGAAGCTGGACCAGGTTGGGCACAGTGGCTTACACCTACAATTTCAGCACTGTGGGAGGCAGAGGCAGGAAGACTGCTTAAAGCCACCAGGAGTTCAAGACTCCCATTTCCACACAAAAAAAGAAAAATTTGCCAAGCATGGTAGCATATGACTGTTGTCCCAGGTACTCAGGAGACTGAGGCAGGATTGCTTGAGCCCAGGAGTTTGAGTAACAGTGAGCTACTATGATGCCAGAGCACTCTAGCCTAGGTGACAGAATAACACTGTCTCAAAAAAAAAAAAAAA